TGCAATGGAAAACACATGTTGGTATACTGCGAGGTTGGGAGACCAACAATCCTCTCGACATGTCTCGCATGTGTCAATGGTGGCGCACATTCGCAGGCAGAAGGAAGCAAGACGAGGGAGTGTACAGATAACTAGAACTGCCAACAAATGCATGAATTTGTGTTAATAGCTGACCACACATACATGAACCACTCAGACACCCACACATATTCTCTGTCTGTGCTGTGTGTGCGGGCACTTTCTCTGTTTGACCTTAAAACCTTTCTCTTTCCCGCCGTGGGGAACAGTTCTCTAGACGCTGACCTTCTACTGGTGACTGCATGACCAATGTATCCTCTAACCACCCTTATGAAGTTGTGTGTGTGTGTGTGTGGGCAGGGATTTCTGGTTGGATTATGTTGAATAAATGAGCAACCCAGATTTTTTGCCCTTGTTGATTAATCCGTCGGTGTGATAATAATTCTTTAAAGCTTTTTGATTGTTATTACAGCAGATTTCCATGCAATTTGGTGGTTAGGCCGACAAAATGTCCACATTTTCATAATGTCTGTTATCTTATCGGACAAACTCAAAATTTAACTTTAAATGATATAAATGATGCGTCTTTGAACAGCAGCTCAGACAGTTGTTCAGCCTTGGCAAAAGAATCATATATAATAACTTTACTATTAATCTCATACATGTGTGCCCAGTGTGAAGTGTGGCTTTGTACATCAGTTACTCCTGGATTAATCCCAAATGTGCCTTAGCATTTTGTGCAATAATTCATGTCTGACATGATGGATAACATAGGGATTATATGCATATTTATCACATAAATGATCAAAACTACATATCTGTCAGTGAGAATGGCTGCAATATGTCATTTTATTGGGTCAACTTTGAAAAATATGACTTTGAACAAAGTAAATTGCTCAAATTTACTGGTGCTGGCCTTGAACCCATTTCAGTCAAACCCTACTTTAGATTGATAAAACTATATTGTTTGACTTATATAGTTCCTTGTCTGAAGTCTTAAATTAACAAGTTATAAATTGCCCACACATTTCCTCCTGTATATTATGAGTTTTCTTTAGTCTAGGTCGTGATTCCTGCTAATTAACCTCGTTACACTTTGAACTGTCCTATGGGACCCCTGAGCCATCTACTGTATGAGCCACAGCCAGCCTGCTAATAACCCTCGGTTTTAGAGAGAAATCCCAAAGAGAAGCGACCATTTTGGGAGCGACATCATCAGTTAAACACTGACATTTGAGAAGGATAAGTAGACTCCCCGAGGGCTGTGGATGCGTTGGAGCCACAATCTGACACGCCAGCGTTTACACCATCACTTGTCATTGAGCCAACATTTTTTTAGATTGTGCTATAGAGCCGTGCATTTACACAAATTAGCATATTATAATGATTTTTATTGCATATAAATTCCGAAATGTAACAGTGAAGCTTGTGCTGCCTGTTGCATACAAATTATTCTCTCACTTTTATAAATTCCGAAAAGAGAGGTTTTGTTAGAACTCCACTTGTTTGAATCCTTATTTACTTAAAGTTTATAATTACAGGAGAGAGGCCAGATTTGACTTTTCTGAATGCAAATAAGACGGGACCCCGCGAGGGGATTGTGCTGAGCCACTCAAATGAGGAAAGGGGAACAAAGAGCAACAAAGAGCAGAGGAGTCACCCATTTTATTAATTGTGTTGGTTCTAGCAGTTGCCCTTTAGAAAAGTCAGTGGACTTAATTAAATTACCACGCACGCTCGGAGGAGGAAGCAGTAGGAAATAGCCCTGTAAAACAGAACCTTGCCAGCATTCAGTCCCTTATCTAATGAGAATGAGAGCCACGGGGATGCTCAAAGGTCTTTAAGTGTCCTCTGAGTCCTTCACTTACTACTATAATACCTGGGTTTAGCATTCAGAAAAGCAAAGTCTTTGGCAAACCGCATAACGGCAGCAGAGCTATTGTCATATATGTGAAGGCTACCATGCGTGTTCCTGCACATGGGTTTCAAAACAGCAGTCATGGTGAGCAAACACAGCTGGGGCTGATGGCAGAGATATTGCCAAAGCTTACAGCCCTGTCAGCCGTTCTCCTATATAGTGCCCTTTAAACCCTCCGGGTCCTTTGGAGTTAAGGCGTTCTTTTTCCAGGTCAGCTCACTTGTTTGCTTCTCACAGCTGAGTCTCTACTGTTAGCATATAGATAGGATAATTAAAGGCGGGTCAAGGCAGTTGGGCACGGGAAGCTGGCATGGAGGCGTAAGCGGTCGTGACATGCTCGCCCTTCCCCCTACACATGTTCCGAAGCCCTGTGGCATCGCCAGAGGTTATGAAGGCTCAGGGAAGTGACACATGCATACCGAGTAATATGGAGAAGCCACAGAAGACTGGGCACGGAGAGGCAGAGTGTAAATGCCAGTTTCTGTTGCGGTGTTGTATGACAGCGGTAGGGAAGAAAAATGCACTGGAACACGAGGAGCTGGCGCCAAAACATTCAGGACACAGAGAGGTCAGGACATAACACAGCCTCTCTTTGGATAAGCAAAGCACACAACCTGCTCTCTGATGGCAGTAATGAAGCCTCAACATTTTTAACTCTGAATTAAACTAAACCTCACTGATCTGCCAGTGGGCCAGTCATTACAAACTCAAGCTGTGCAGCCAGATATTGTTAAAACCCACAGAAATGTATGTTAAATTCTAGTGGAGATCAAAGTGGAGTTTCCATAGGCCCCATATGACAGGTTGAATTTCAAGCTTAATAAGTCCAGTGTGTAACATTTAGGAGGCTCTACTGGCAGAAATGGAATAGAATAATCCTAACTATGTTTTCATTAATGTATAACCACCTGAAAATAAGAATCGTTCAGTTTTTGTTCCCTTAAAATTAGCCTTTTATGTCTACAGATGCCTTCCATGTACGCTACCATTGTTGAACTGTCATGTTGCCACAGTAGCTCAGAATGGACAAAGCAAACACTGCCTCTACATAGAGCCGCTTGCATTTTTCATAGTTTCTCCTTTCGTGCATGGGAGGGGAAAGTTAAGCGAGGGAGTAAATCGGCAACTACACCACTACATGCCACTAAATCCTACACACTGGTCCTTTGAGGCTTAAGGTTAAATTTGATCCTATATAAAAAAAAACATAAAAAACACTGGAAATTACACATCCCAATAAACCTGATCAGAAATGTGTGGTCTATTACTTGAGCAGCGACTGGTATCGTAATCCATGCTTGAGGCCTTCCTTTGGGGAAATGTTAAAGAAAATTTCCATTTGATGGAATGATGAACATTCAATCTGCACACAGCTTCAGTGGATAGTTGAAACAAGCTGATACAGAATATGATACTGTCATACAATGCAGAGAAAAATAAGTGGAAAACTGAATTAATAGAAGACCAGGAGCCAGGTCAATGGTTTAAAAAAGTATATTGTAACAACTAGTGTTGGATGGTGGTGGTGATGGTTGGGGCTGAGGGGGTGGATGGCTAGTAGAGTGGTTGTATGTTGAAATCCAATCCAAACAAGTGAAGACAAAGGCTGATCTGGATGTTTCAGTTCAGGGATAACTCGTTTTTTCTGCAGTCGATTCAGGACTCACCAAAGTTGATATCTGGGAACATGGAACATTTTTACATATTTGGAGGTTTCTCACCCGATTATTTGGATGTTGCACCAAAAGTGGTGGTCAGAGTGGATCTGGAAAGTTGGTCTGTAGACTGATCTATAGTTTTACCTTTGTTTTCCATTACAGTTCAGTTAACCTGGAGGTTTAATTAAAACCTTTATGATCTCTTTGACTGCTCTTGCATTTGGCCCCATTTCACTCAGTTTTAACAATGTCGCCCTTTTGTTTTGGTACTGAAGTGGGTATTTATAGGCCAAAAGTAGCTTTGAATTACAAAAGCTCAGGGCTTTTCCTATAATAACAAATATTGTGTCATTGTTTTAATAGGGTTTTCAATGTAATACAATAAACTCAAACATATTGCACTACTAAGAGCAAATAGGTCACCCATGTGCTGTTGCAAGGGCTACAGGCAACATAGTCACTTAAATGTCTGGGAATTCAGTCTCATGTGTCTTACTATGATTAGTCTCTGAGGACATTGCGACTTCTGTGCTTTGCGTCATCCCTCCGCTATCATACCCTTTGACTCCTTCCTGGAGTTACATAAGGAGACTCCTGGTGGTGGTGGGGGGGAGCGAGGATACAGGGGAGGGGGGGGAAGAGAGCTTGCTTGTTCATCACAGTCCATCTACCTTGTTTGAACATATTGTGTAAAACATCTCCTTCTTTGCTCCCACAGTTATTCAGAAAAAAATGTATTAACAAACATTTCATTTCCCCTTTGACTTCCTTTGTTGCACTGAGCAGCCCCTAGCCATGGCGCTCCGATGCCTCTGCAGTCAGCCTTATGCGCCGGCTCCTCGAATAGAAAAGAATGTGTTGTTATGGTTTCAGCCGATGCAGTATGTGAAATATTTATGAAATGACTCAGTGGCAGGGCATAATGTGACCCTGCCATATATTTTACTGTAAATGTATATGACAATAACAAATAGGCATCTATCTAAATTCCGTCATGCCCTGAAGACTGAAAAGGGAGCATATGTCTGTTGTGTAGCATGGATTGCTTTTGTTATGTTCACACTTATTTTTGCTGTAAGGAAGGATAAACATTATTATTTTAAATTCTTACCTTTAAAATCCAGGGTAATAAAAACGTATGTATTTTTGTTAAAAGACTCCAAACTAAAAACTTAGTTATTAAAAGGTTGTAAAAAGGTTGCCACCAGTCACTATAATGTTCTCTTCTTCCTGTCTCCCTCACCTTTGACCTCAAATTTAGATCTACCGTTTGTTTTTTTGACACAGTTGAAAGGGGCAGGTTCTTTAGGGACATTATGTTGCTAACTGTGACCTGTGAGGCACTTCTATATTGCCTCTAAATACCAGTAATATCCTTTTTTTTTTTGCCTTTTCCTGCTGTGCAGATGGGCTAAATGGGTCAACAGACGGTGGATGTGTGTCAGTGATTCCCCTCTGGTACGGAGCTGACCCCCTGCCTGTGGAGATTCAGCAGAGAAGAAAGCTGCTGATGCTCACTTAAAAGCAGCCTTGACCTGTTTGTTTCACTTTCAAACTGTATACAGTACACAGCTGGAATCTGTGCACAGTGTCCTGCCAACATCTCACTTTGGAACATATTGATCGCATTAATTAATCTCTTTGATGTACAGCACTTTGGAGGTTATAAAACAAACTCCTGCTGTGTGAGGGCAGGTTTGCACCTTGAGGCATTGAACTGTGACACTCGAGTACCCAGAAGTCACTCTACAAGATGTAATTAATCTGCATTTTCCTTGCTTTCCCCTTTTAAGTTTCTCATGATGGGCTGCAGTTAATGTGGCAGAGCTTCTGTTCCGACTTATGTTACCTGAAAATGTTTGTTTCGCTCTTATATCTTACACCAGTGGTTCTTAATTGATCTACAAAAGGATGCAGACCTGTACTTGATAAGATGTAGTCTCAGGGAACACGCCGTCTGATAAGATTGAGTTATTTTTTTAACTGTTCAAATATTAAACAGAACTCGCTTGGACTTGTAGTGGTAAAAAGAAGTCTCTACTTTAAGAAAAGTCCGGTGAATGACGAATGGCTGGGGTTGGAGGTCCAGGGCAGATTGGAGGGAATGTGAAGGAAGGAGATGGCGTAGGCTGGAGAATGGACAAACAGAGGGCAAGGAGACAAGCGGAGACATTGCGGCAGAGAAAAGAAAGGTTAGACACTGAAATGAACACTGAGGCAAAATATCATAAAAAAACTTGAGAATTGGCCAAAGTGTATCTCACACAAGAGTTAAAGAACAATCTGGCGGTGAGTGACTGCAGCAGTGCCAGGAGCCAGGGGAGCGAGGAAGAGGTGGCCACAGTCCAGAATATTCATTCTCTCAATGGGATAACTTCTAGCCAATGAAATAATAGTGAAATATTCCCCCTGGACCCAGTTCAAGGATCCTTGAGGGTCCCTTGAGCCCTGATGAGACCGCTGCCTTAGAGTCCACACTAAGTTTACATTTTACACACGTAGCAGGAAAGTTCCCTTCGAGATCACAAAGTTTGGATGTCAACATAGCGATCAATCGCACAAAACAGTTGGGTTTATTTTATCAGATGGGACAATAGTCAGCTTTCCATTCAAATGTAGCATATATTTAACCCAGCTATCAGAACATTTCCCCTAAACATGCAAATGAATGCGTATTTCCATCTCATCAGTGAAAGCTTGAGGGACATTTAGGTTACATGCTGCATGTGTGTCATGATTTATTTTGATTTTTGATTTTATTTAGTCTGTATGCATTACACTTTTTTGGTCACATTTTGGTGGGATGCTACATCCACCACTTGTTATTTAGCTATGATTGCGTGAAGTCCCCTGGGTCCCCCACGGACACAGATTTTTACTTAACTTTTGAATTTACCATTTGTATTTTTTCCCCCTCATTCTTTACCCAGAACTGAGCATGTGACAAAAATGTAAACAAGTTTCAACTACAACAGCCTGACACAGCTGTGCACTGGTAATAAAATGAAAGCAAATGCCCCACTCACCTCTGGGTTGTAGTAATGTAAGACACAACAGGCCTTTCATAATAAGTTCCATTGCAGAAAAGAAAGGATGAAAGCATTACAAAGTGCCAGAGGTTGGCATGGAACATACAGACTGATCCTTGAGCTCTGGGGAGATATTGAGACAGCTGCAACCCCCGCACAAAAGCAATACAGCTCTGAAACATCTTTGAACGTCTCACGGGAGCCACACTGTACATTGTCTATTCGTCCCTCAATGATCACTCATGCTCTTGAAGCATTGTTTATTGTTCACCAGAACATCCCCTCATCAAAGCAATGTTCGACAAGAGGACCATCGGTGAGTTACCCTTTCAGCAAAAATGGATGCATGAACACAATCAGGGTAAGATAATACACACGAAAGACCGAAGGCCTACTCCTGGGTGGCTTGTAAGATTATCCCACTTCTTCCCTGGCAAGCCAGCACATCTCAAGATTATCTCCCTACATGTCCATGGGCACAAGGGAGAGTAGATACAGACATGGAAAATCAGCTCTTCATCCTTGCTAATCTTTATGGAGTATGAAATAGTCATCACTCAAAAGCATGGCACATTCACTTTAATCATTTTTTTTTTCAGTAGCACTGAAGCAGATGATTAGGCATGCCTGCCCTCATCAGCAGGTCTTAGACTCCCTGGTGGAGCTTGACTTAGCTGCTGATCATGTTGTTAGGGGCTGTTGGAACAGCTTAGGTCATTCAAATCCTAACCCACTGTCAGCAGGGGGGTCCAAATTGCTTTCCTTAAGCAGACTGTGGGCAAATGGGTTAATCTGTATGATTTAGCTATATAAATTCCTCTCCACACAAACATTTGTGCTGGCTGTATAATGGCAGTAAAATGATGCCAAGTAGAAGAAAAGAACTCATTCATGCATTTGTGTCATTTCACGTCATTGGCCTGGTTTGCGTGGATAAATCTGTATACCGACCTGCAGCCTGGTTTTGTTTAGCCATAGGGCTCTCGTCGTCAGAGACATCAGTGGGAGGGCAGTGTGTGCCAAGAAAAGGTTTCTGCCACAGAATGTTTTGACATTTTTTGAGGTTTAAGTGTTTTGAAGCTTGGATTTGGGTCTATCTGTTCTCAACCATCCTTGCTGGAGCTACCAAGATAATGCTAATACTGGTTGAAGCTCCGTTGGGGTAAACACTACAGTTGAGTGTGATGGTCTGAGACACCTGTCAATCAAGCCAACATGCCCATACACTGCTTTTGAACCCTATTCTATCAACATAGGAAAAAAAAAATCACTGCTAAGACACCCATTTCACAAGACGTAACATCTGTTTGTAATCTGTTAATACCATAGATATCATAGTTTGAAGTGTTCCCGTTCAGATTCTTGGGTCCTAAACGGTTGGAGAAAGATAAAGGCAGTCATTCACATTGGACACTAAACATAATCCTTAAACAAAGGACTTACAGGGCTTTCAGTTTCCCCTCATATACAACCACCTGTTACTATGTGATAGAGGTTCCTCACGTAACGAAACCTAAACCAGCTCTGTTCCCAAAATAACACTGTGGTTGGACGCTCACAAAAAGCTGGTAGGTGGGATTTTTAGTTAAGATTATTTTGTCGCACATACAGTTCCCAAGGTCAAGAATGAACTTCCATGCTCATAATGACATGGGTGTATAATCTGCAAGGTACGTTTTTGGAGTTAAGACTAGAATCTTTTTGGAATAGATACTGATCTTCTTCCCGTCTTTGCAGCTCTCTTATTTATGCATTTTTGTGCTGATCCCTACATTTTAACACCAGGGACTTGCTCTATATAGGTACATTGATTGAGAGACATTATTAATTCATCCTCTTTAATATATAACGTTGAGGCATTCAGAACCAAACTGAAGTGGCGTGGTTATAGGGATGGCAGAGCCAGTCAGTCAGCCTACCACATTGGTTCTTTTTCTTCACACTGACGTTATTGAGGATTTACAATCGCTTTATTTTCTGCCATGAAATGGTCAAAATTAAACACCAGCAATTGGTAAATCAAATGCTTCGTATTAGTCTTTATTCAGCCCAGAGCACTCAAAGTTAAACTGTGGAGTTTGAGTTTGAATATGAAAACATCTGCTGATCCTGCTGCTCTTGTGCTTGTATTCCCTTTGGTGACTAAAAGTTAAAAGCAACTCAAAGCAGGGAAAATTTGCAAACATTACTAAAAATTGAGGCAGTTTGCATCAGCTCTTTAAGCCGGAGAAGAAGAACGAAATAGATATATGGAGTGTAATATCTTGTGTAAGCAAATGGTTGCACAGCAAGATGCCTTCATTTAACTGAATTGAGGTAATGTGTCTCTTCGCTCAAAATCAATTTTGGGACTTTCATTATCCTTGTTGGGAACTGTACTGAGATGTAAAGTTGTAGCCAAGTGTTTCTGGAAACTGGACACATGCCTCTGAAGGAGATTTATGTGAATTTTCCACAGGAGACATGGTTTTCTTTTATATTCAGCATTGGATCCCAGGAAGGTGTGATAGATGAGCCAAGATGCTGGATTTCGTCTCCTGCCTCGCCGTATCCATCTGCTGTGGATCAAACACGCAGAAAGGGGCCAAGAAGCTCAATGTTCCACGTAATGGAAGCATGAGTTTCCCCAACCGCTGGACAAAGCACTTGCAGCGCTGGTTTCCTCAGCCCGCTTCACGCTTGCCTGAGCCTGAACACATGACAAGTAAAAACCCGAAGGCACGGGTTGGGGGGAGGCAAAGCTGAACAGGAGGAGGAGGAGGAGGAGGAGGAGGAGGAGGAGGAGGAGGAGGGGAGATGCAAGAAAAGTGTTTTGATTTGCGTGTGCGCTGGGTGTGTGGATGCATGAATCTGCGTCTTCTCACCTCTCTTGTCCATCTATCTAACTCACTCCCTCTGTTTTCCACTCACTTTCCCTACCCCCTCCCTCTCTCTCTCTCTCTCTCTCCTCAAGGTTACTATTGTTTTCTCAGCCTGGAATCATTGCACGCTTCTCTTCTTTTCTGTCGGAGGACCATGTGAGGCTCTTGAATGTAAGTGCCTCCTTTGTTGCTTAATTCACTTTCATTGGGACCATTCCTTTAGAGGCAAAAGGTTTAGGGTCTTTTTTTTCTTTCCCTCGTAGCACATGCACAATGGGATGTCATACATCGGAGGGGTGGAGTGGGTCGGGATGGGATGGGGTGGGGGTGTTTAGGGGGCTTGATTGCTCCATGTGGTCCAAGCGTGGGAGCTGAATGCACGTGTATGCTGCTGTCATTGTCTCAGAGTAGCTCTTGCACAGCTTTATCTTTCCTTCTTAACTCGATTTTGCTGCATGTGTTGTTCATTGGCTTTTGGTTGTATTTGCATTATCTGTATTTGGTGAACATTTGCTCAGAATGCTTCATTATTGGTCTACAAGATGCTTAATTTAACTGCAAATAGATGGTACACTGAATTTCTCAAGCAGAACAAACACAGCTATTTTTAAATCATTTGTTATTCAATTAAAATAACAGTAAATTAGGGACTTGAGTGACTTATTGCTGTTGTTAAACAGTGGTTGTACACAATTTTAAGCTAATATTAAACAAATTTCCCATTCATCCATATAATGATATAGTTGCTATTAGTCCACATATAGCCCTTGAGCATTAACACTCTGGTTGCAATACATTGCACTTTGTATTGTTTGGTCATATGTAATTAACTATTATCAAGGTGTGTTTGAATATTTTACAACTGTTTGAAACATAGTTTAACCAACTGAAATTAATCTGTCTATCTAACCTAATCTGTTCTGTCTTGCATGTTACATTTAACAGAATGCCATGCTTATGTTTTACCACTAGCTTATTAGTTATACCCTGCAAGTACCCAGAGGGCACCTTTGTTTATTTATACTGAAATACTATCCAATGTATTCTTTGTTCTCCTTGTATATGATCCAAAGGACAAATTGCTTGTTTGGACTCATGTCCATATTATGAAAGCCAATGTTCCACATTTGAACTGGATATATTATGAAGCTTCCTTTAGTCAGTATAATAGGCCTTGTTTGTTGGCCTTGTTAGTGTCTGTGGTGACCTCAGAGTATTTGTATTATGAGGATGCATCTTGCGTTTGAGTCAAAAATGAAACAAGGTAGTACTTTAATTTGGAAGTCTTGATGTCTGGAAACATTTCAAACTTTAAAAGCTACTAGTTCTACTGGCTTGTTCCATGAGCTTTCTAAAGTTGCTTATGCTAAATAATGCAAGCAATGATTTGAAAGCACAAGCACACTTCCAACTTCAAGAAAAGGAACAACTTTGATTGACAGAGGGATATGTTTCTCATTATACTGCACTATAGTGAGGGTTTCTGTGGAATTATTCAGTTTCAACTTTTGTTTGTGTTCTCAGACGCCTCCAAACTGACGATCCTTCATTGAAGTTCTTCCGCTGCTTTGTACTGCTGCGTTTTAATGCATGCAAATGTGTACTCCTTCTCTCCAAAGATTAAAAAGTACACTTCAACTCCAACTTTATGTGATAACTTGTTTAAATTCCTTCAGGTCTGCATGAATTTCTCTAAGGTTTCAGCATTAAACACCCTCCCATGCTTCACTGCAACGCAATGTGTCTGAAGTGAATTGCAACTGACATGACCAATGAATAATACAAATAGTGTATATATGCTGTTATCAATTATGGACAACTTTGCAAAGCTGAATGCTGAGCATAGAGGTCTGTGGTGAACATATGTGTTTACGTACATTACTTTTTAGGAGGTTATATTGGTGATTGCCTGTTTTGAAATATGGACTTCTTTTTAAACTGTAATGACACTGTAGGGATGTTTTATGGAAAGAGTATAGTTCATTTAAAGGCCACGACACACACACAGCTCTAAATATTGAAAAATGATTTAAAATGCATTTAGCTGCTGGTGCAGTCAGTGGGATTTATCTGTGGGTGATTGAGCAGCATGCATCTACAACTTACTTAAATGCAAGATAAATGAAATGTATCT